ATGAAAGAAAAACTAATTAAATCCTTTGTCCAACATTTTGTCAAACAAAGAAGCAAGTCAAAAAAAAAATAGGATTACTCGTACATGAAATGGACGAGAGGTGGGAGAGTGGGATAGTGGGAGGGAGGTGTATAAACAGATCGCTTGCTAAAAGTTATTCAAGATAGCATTTACATTCCTTAACAATCCCGCGCTCTATGCAAATCAGAGTACGAGTATCCCCATCTGCAATGCGCCAAGGAAGCCAAAGGCGCCCACAAATCCGGTGCAGCTATATATTTATGTTAATGCGATCGACGAATCAATATGCTTTCGATTTCAGCATAAATGGCGCATCAGCGACATCCGTCTTGATATAAGAGGGATTACACGCGGAACCCACAGCGGAGCAATGTCATCGACAAGTGGGCGGATGAGTGGGAGGTAAGGAATGGCAGTCATAAATTTTTCACTGGCTTGAATCCCATTAGGGCAAAGAGCCGGCCAGTGAGTTCGCAAAGTGTCTCCGGCAGGTGCATTTCTCTGTTGTCTCCAGTTGTCGTCGTCGTCGTTGTCTCCACCTCCGTTGACCTCACCTCTGACGTCGCGCTGCTTCTGCATTGATTTATGCCAATCACGCTTCGCTAATAACTCAGCGACTCCACCGATGCTACTCCGGATGCTGATGCCGCTGCCTCTGTTCTCTGCTCTGGTGGCTGTCATAATGACAGCAATTTGAGGGTTAAATTGGATATGCTTGAAGCGTTGACAAAGTTGGTCACGTGCTCTTTTTTATACCCGCTACCCGTAGGGCACAAGGGTATATGATATGACAGGTAAAAGCGAGCTTCAGTCAATTCCCACATTTCTCTTGTACTCCAAACTAAAATTCAGAGAAGTTTCATTATGCGTATCTAGAAAAATATATACAGATTTTATATTTGTTGGAGCCAATATGTAATTATTCATTGAATATCAAAATGATCCATACCATTGGACAACACAGTATTCTTAAGTCGTTTCTACTAATTTTTTTCTGGCTGGTACCCGCCCTGTAAACGGTCCCACATAATTGACGTTTCATTAGCAGCATCTCTGCCTCTGTTTAAAGAACATTTACCATGCAAATGTCCACCTTACTTGATGCTCCCTACTTCCATCCTCAAACACACACTTTAAAGTTGTTGTCTTGGCAATTAGAAAGGTCAATCTTATGATGATGATGATGATGATGGTGACGTGATGATACCAATGATGGCACTCATAAAAACTTAAATTCGTGCACACACTTGCTCTTCCTTTTTCACTTTTCCCCCATTGAACTTGTACGAAAATCGAATTTGTGAAGTTCCTATACACACACACACGCACCGGACCCTCAATGGGAATGGGAAAATTTCATAAATGAACCAGGATTCCACTTCAATTTATGACATAATGATATTTGAGTGGGGCAAATTGTGTTAGCCCCGGGGATGGGAAGGAGTCTGAGGAGCGTTTCTTTTGTGGGTGCTTCTTGGTATGCTTGTGGCGGCTATTTGGCTCAATTTTATGTAAATTATGGGATTATGTTGTGATTTAGAATGGGTTACAATTGGAGCTTAGGGAGCCTATTAGGAACCACTTCCCATTGATAAGGTGTTGAGGTTAATTCGAGTTTTTATGTGGTGTGATGGGTGCTCCCTGGCCATTAAATTTAACAACACATTTTTGTTAGTTTTCGTATAAAAAGTTCTCTTACTTTGTTCACCCTGCTATCCTGCGCCACACTCCGTGTGATTAATAGCTGAAAAACTTGTTTTCTAATTATTTAACACCCAAAAACTACGACAATTAATTATGTGGCTGAACAATGAAGCCCCTGACGGACATTGTGGGCGACTCACAGACACACACAGACAAATACAAAAGCTTACAACAATTGCTAGTACAACAATAAATTTTATTGTGCATACACAAAATTCTCGTTGCGAATTTTGTGTGGCGCTTTTTTTCGTACTCCTGTTATTTGGTTGGCAAATGAAATTGTAGAGCAATGCACATGCATAGAGACAGCCACTCCGACACACGCAGAAATATATACATCAGATAACCAACCGATCCGTAAAGAAAGCAGAAACACTAACAGGGTGCCTTGGTACAAAATATTCGAGGATTTCTTATTAATATCCAGTTATTTTTAAGGTGTATTTAGTGATGTTTAGGCTCCTTTTAAACTGCTTAGCAAGTCCAAGAAAAATGTCCTTCTGCATTTGTTATACTTAACATCAACTCGCTACTTTCTAGTCAAATATGGATTAGTTCTAAGAAAACCAAAATATCCTTAGTTCCTACTAATTAAACCGACTGAGGGAAGAAAAGTTTGGTCAATAGCTGTCTTAATAATTTGATTATAGCAACTATTGAATGAATATCAAAATTGAAGACCCAAAGTTCCCCTGATGTACATTTTCACAGGGCATATTTCGTCACTATGTTAAATTCCACTATGCTAAGAGTATACAAATGAACGTACTCGTACGAATGGATGTGGATATGCATCCCATTGCAATGCATTGCATTCGGGTTAATTGTTTTTAGGCATGCAAAAACACAGAGGGAAAGAGGAACACACAATACCATATAGAGGGAAGAGGAAGGTAGAGAGCCCGAGAGAGAACCATTTAATGGCATAGCACATTCATTTGTAACTTTTTAATTAAACAGCAAACTGTGACAAATTATTTTAACGAGCTTTTCGCAATACAAATTAAAAATAAAAATCGTTATAAAGAAAACTCAAACGTCAGGCCCAAAGCCGAATAAAGCCCCAAGCAGCTAACAGACAACATCCTCAACCAAAAAAATACATAGAACGAACCACAATAAACTGGCCAAGATGGGAAGGCTCACAAGAAATCTGCTTAAAACAATTATTTCAGAATAATTGGCTTTAATTGCTTCCAGCATCCCCGACACCGTCGTCAGCGCCCGAAGTCGCCCAAGAAGGGGGAAACTTATGCCAAAGTGTAGGTCATAATGGCATCTATCAGTGGGCGACGAGGGCCGAGCAAGGGCTGTCGAGGGTTGAGTGGGCGGAAGCGGAAACAAGCAATTTTGCGGCCAAGTTACGAGTGCCACAGACAGCGGCTGAACAAGCAAAACAAGCACAACACAAGACAGAAGGCTAAAGACAATAATCCGACTAAAAGATACCCACTACTCAAGAACCAATTACCTGAAATAGCATTTAATAAAAAGAATTAAGTAGAGGCGATAAGTGCGTTTCATTTCACAGAGCGACTGACATTACGATAACCTATTTTGGTTGATTAAAAAGCTTTCGGAAGAGCTGTCTGCTGTATGTATCAGAAATAAAATATTCTATTATACTCTGCGATTACCGGGTATAGCAACTAAAACGATACGATGTGAAAGAAAAGATTTCGCAAAGTGTGGAAGTTTTCATCCTCTTGCCAAAGTAATTCAACAAGTTCTTAGCCAGAGATACGAGTATTTTCATAATTAACAGACTACGGTTTCGGTGCACTCTCGTATAGTGTGCATTTGGAAAGGAATCTCAAGTTTTAAACGCTTAAAAGACAATACCCCAGCGGTAACCAGATGTGCACTGGGCAAACTCTATAATTAAGTTAATAGAACCATGAGCAAAAGGGTATGCCGGGCAAGCCGCAAACAACAAGAAACCGCAGCCAAGTAAATAAAGTTGTGCGTTGGTCGCCTCCAACAAAAAGTGTTGGGATTTGGTGTGGCAACTGTGTTTGCGGATGGTTTTGTTTGCCTTGTTGTGGCCCAGACCCAGAGAGCCGAGGAGGCAAACACCAAAGTCTAAAAGCTGCTTATGACTTGCCCCGATTGTTAATTGCAATCAACTGTTCGAGCACACCTCGCCCATGGCTCTGCAAGATTAATGATGGAATTAAAAACCAAGCCAAGCCATGTAATGTGCCTGCCTGTGTATGAGTTGAGCAGTGCACTTAATTAAAAATGTTTGCCTAAATTATGTACAGACAATTAGACAGGCAGACAGGACAGCAGCCCAGACAGGCATTTCCACAATTTGTGGTTGGGATTTTTAACATTTCCGTGCCAGTCCCCAATACCAGCCCGACGCCCCATCGCCAGACCAAGGAGGTTCATTGTTAGACTAAACATGAGGCTCAGACTCACTTTCAAGAGGCTTTTGCTGAGCAATCTGAGAGCAGCAGCTCTGCGCGAAGTCCCTAAGTGGCCGCCAATTCATATTTAAGCGGATATTATCATTTTGGTCATATGATTGCAACACTTAGAAGCAGCCCGCTCCGACTCAACAAACTTGATGTATTCTTGGCCAGGATTACTCCATAATCTCAAAAACTATATTCATTTGCAAGGCAAGACCAGGCACCTAGTCGTCTCTCTTTTGTAGGTAGACTTAGTAAAAGAGGGCGAGATCGAGAAACAGTATGATGATGAGAGTATCATAACTTCGGTTCTGAAGTTGGCTTTCTTGAGCTCTTGAGTTTGTTTTACTTGATTTCCCTTTGTCACATCTTCGCTGTGGTGGGACTGGGTGGCAATGGATGTCCTGGAGCAGCGCTAATTAATTGCTTAAACAATTGCACTCTAACAGCAACCGCGCATTGTTGTGGGGTCCCCATTGCGTATACTTAATGCGAGAAATTATTTCACGCTCACTTACAAGTGTCACAATTTCGAGTAGTGTCCTCGCTGGTCCAAATGAGACCGCATAAATTTTGCAGCCTGCTTGCCTGACTGCCTGACTGCCACGCGCCGCAAATGCAATAACTGCGCGTTTTGGCCATGTGACCCTGGCTAAATGTGACACTAGGCCAAACGAGGATTTAACCGACCCGAGAGGCAAAAACTGGAATGGCCCCGTCATCTCTGCTATGACGCTAGCGAGTGGCAAATATTTGCCCTCGACATGTGTTTTGCTGGAATTTAGCTGCGGCAAACGCAATTCTAATTAAGCGAATATCATTTGCGACAGTAAGCGACAGTCGACGTAATAAACGATGTAACAGCTTAAAGTTTACTTTATTTTATTGCTCATTCTGTCAGGGAAAGGATACCCTGGCGAATCACTTGGCCTTGGTGGTGCAGCACTTATCCTTGGGACCAGACTTGCAGGCGCACTTGCAGTCCTGATCGCAGGCGCAATTATCGCCGCACTTGGTCGACGTGCACTTGCAGTCTGAAAAATAGAAGTTGTTTAAAAAATGAGTGACTAGACAATGGTTACACCTTCGACTCACTAGATCCACAGCCCTTGCAAACCATTTTGAAGATTGAATCGGTTGTACTTTACAACTTGTTGTTGGTCAGTGCGGGTTTGTGCCTGAGTATTTATAGGCTCGACCACCAGCTGAGGGCCGCGTGTAAATATTTTGCACTCTGCTCGTTTGATAACGAAAAACGTGTGCAAAATCAACAGAACATACTCGACTGCAGTCAGCAGTCAACAGAAAACGAGTTGGGGAACCCTTCTTATCAGTCAGTGATAAGATAGGGGATAGGGGATCGAATCCCCTTAGATTGCTGTCTCCCAGTTAGTCTTACAAAGCCCCCGATAAACGTTACTGGGTACTTACTATGCGCAATTGGGGCTAGTTAAAGGGGTCAGAGTGGAATTACCGCAAATTGCAAAAGTTTTTAATTGTTTATCTCGGTCTCGGGCGAAGCATTAGCGCAACATGGCCACGCCACTGCGATGTTGTCCTTGTCGCAATCAGCACACAAAAATCTTTCCAAGCGGATGCAAAAATTAGCCCACTCTCTCTCAAGGCTTTTCTGTCCGCCTGCTCCTGCTTCTGCTCCTGCTCCTGCCTCTACTGCTACTGCTACTGCCTCGCAGCACTTTCAGGATGAGGTCAAATTATTAATTTAATATGCATCCGTGCCGACTCGGACTTTTTGGACTTCCGTTTGCCGCAGCGTCAACTTGCCCCACGACCAACCAATTTTGTGGGTTATACATTCTGTTTGGATGCCCACTGGCCCACTCAAGACCTATGACACGGGATGGCCACAAAATGGCCACCATTTCCGCTGCTCCCACTCACTGTTTCTACCCAGTAGTCGTTGAGTTCGAGGGTATATTGCATTTGGATCTTATAGGCAGAATGAACGCATGTGAGCAGCATAACCATTATATTTCTTTAATTATGAGCAAAGGATTGATGAGATTCAAGAAACTATAAAATATAGTATTAAATATTGATATTATTCGTTTTAATACTCAAATGACGCATCACCAACTTATAGAATATGGTTCTGATAATATAAGCCATTATCTACTGATATACTGGAAAGCATCCCAATTGGACAAATATTACATTCAAAATTAAAAGACTAAAAAAACCAATGTCATGTATCTCTTCTAGTATTATTTTTGTATTCGAACTTTATTGGGATATTTCGTCCTCTCAAAATAGGTCTGTTTAGCGGGTACTCTATAGTCCGTATATAGAGCTTTAGTCTCATTCTTGAAACTCCCTTCTCGGACCAGCTTTGGTGCCTTTTCTTTGTCTGATTAACGTTTAAACTCATTAAGATAACGCAATTCTTGGCGCTCTGCTTAATTTTACTTTCTTGCAAACAGCTGCCTCCGTGGTTTTGCCTCCGGTTAGAAGCTGGGGGCTGGGGGCTGGAGATGGGGTTCAAAGGTCAGAAAGCTGGAAATCTGTTGCCATTGTCTGGAACTTGATGCTTGTAATTGGTTTGTAAACAATTTTGGCTGCTCTTTGACAATTTTCCTGGCCATTTTGTGTTGGGGCTAATTGTAAATTTTCCCCGCAGCTTCTTATCAAAATTGAAGTGAGCATTGAGCTGGACGGCCAGGGCCCGGCCTGATGCCCGGCATTATGCTCTCTATGTTCACGCTCAATTAAGGTCTGTGGCTGCTGGTTGTGTTGGTCTGGCTATGGTTTTTGGGAGCGGCTGGACAGATAGGGATCCGGGCTCTATTTACCCGCCAATCAATTCAATTTGCGACTTGTTTGCGCCGGGCATCGTTTCAGATCCGCTCTATTCGGGTCGATCCTGAGCGGGTGGGTTCGATTTGTTCGCCGTCAATAGCCGTCGGCAGCGCGCTGCGCTCCCTTATTAAACGAGCAAATATTTTCGCTGGCATATTAGATAAATGCTATGATTATGATTATGGCCTGGCAAAATGGCATAATAATCTGCGGAGTTCGAGGAAGGAGCAGCAGCATAATCAAGCGGATTTTGCCGAAAATATGAGGAAAATGTGAATAATTAAATGATTTGATTATGGCAAGGCTTTAATATTATATTTCTCCTTTAAAAGGGCCATTTAAAATGTATTGTATATGTGTATATTATTACCAATAACATAGTTGACTAGTCACCTAGTTTTAAAGCCCTTTATTGTCTGTACCCTGAGAACCTCCGAAGCAATTTAAATTTAAGCAAGCGAAGAAGGACTCAGATGGTCCCTGGCATTTGTAACTTAATTCGGGCCATCAGCTTGACATGACCATCCTGGCAAGTCACTTTGAACTAGTATAGGGGCAATCGTTCATCGGAACGAAAGCCAAACACATGCCATCAATCCCTCAGCAACTCCTTGTCACCCTTTTTTATCAGTCAGCAGGAACTGCACCTCAAAGAGCGCCTCAATTAGCATAATCCATACACAATGGATGACACCAAAAAGCTGAAATGTCGAATAGTGGGATGGGAGGTGTCATACCGAGCGACAGGCAAGGGACTTCAAAGGCCAACCAACCTTTTACAAGGGCCTCTTAAAGTCATAGAATCAAGAAGCAAGAAGCAAGCATCATTATAAGCAAGATGAGAAGCTCATTATACTATGGATTATGCTAATTTCAATCATATTTTATTTTTGGGGTCTTAAAATAGGCCTGGTTATCGCAAGGGGAATTTCCAATGATCCTGAACTATATACAATCGCTATTCTATATAAAGTACAACTAAGGGCTGATTGGCTCTTTCTTAAACTCAAGAGAAAACAGTAGAGTACATTTATGCATTGCATTCTAGCTCCCATAGAACGGGCGTTCCACGCATCTAAATGCTGCAAACAGAGTTGTTAATAGGCTAATATCAAAAATGTCTGATCCCATAATCAACTCAAAGCTAACTGCGGTATGCATTCTAACAGAATTTGTTAGTATTATTCACGCCCTTGGCCTTTCCGCAGCCAATGCTGCGCTTCAAATCGCATTCGCAGCATTAAAACCATTCCAGAATACGAGCCCGTGAAGGGAGAGGACTGGACTTCAGCTGGGACTGGGACTGGGACTGGGAACTACGAGGACTGAACATTTGGCCGAACAACGGAGCAACGGGCAGAGGAACAGCGACAGGAACGACATAACACTCGACGCACCAAACGAAAAAGACGGGGGGAAAAAAGGAACCTGCAACAAGCATCGGACCAAATGCTGTCCTGGTTCTGGTTCTGGTTCTGGATCTGCCTACGTTGCGGCTGCTGTGGTTGCAGTTCATGGCAGCCAGAGCCCCACAGAGGGGGAGGCATGGAAGAGGCATAGGCCGGCCGAACAGACCCAAAAATGTTCTGCAATATGCGTCGAGTTGGAAAATTCATCATAAATTCCATGCGACAACATGGGAGCCAAACTTTTCATATGCTCCTCAAAATGCCGCAACGGTCTGTCCCACAGTCCCACAGTCGCAAGCATCCAACCATCTATCCATCCAACCATCCATCCCGTCCAACAGCTGCTGGCGATTTTTATTTATACATACGTTGAGATGTATGTACATACATATACCCAGCAGAGTGTTGCAACATCTCGACACGCCCACCCGGCCCCTGTCCCCGCTGTCAGAAAGTGTGGAAGTGTGTTAAATGCATATTTGTGGAGCTTAAATTCCATTGCCGACAGATGACAATCGGTAACAGCTTGGCTAGTAAATTTCATACTTACCCTTTTGCAATGGTTAACCCGAATTCGAATTTGCATAAATGCCAGATACGAGTAGTTCCCTAAGCTGTCAACCATCCGTTTACCCAACCATCTCTGCGTTATCTTTTGTGGCTGTCATTTTTTTATCGACTTGAAGTTTAACAACTTCCACTCTGCAATTATAACTACGAGCATCACTTGCATTCATTACCGAAGACGGGGATGGCACAGGGTTCTTCGGGGTTTACGACTGCCACGATGCCAGAGCGTTTTTATGACAATTCCAGAAGCTCTAATGCTTTATCATTATGTAGGTCTTATCCTTACGTGCCTTTAAAGCTGGCAATTGCCATCGTTCGTGTCCTCGATTGAAATTGCTTGGCATCAGCTGAAGTTCTCATTACGCGCTAACGTTCTCAATATACATCACACTTCCGTTCTCCCACACACACACACACTGAGGGAAAATGCAATATATTCTGGTAAACAGAACGAAATAGTAGTTTTAAAAATAATTGAAGTCTCAGTCAGACATGGGTCTTGGCTTTTGCTTAATCACATTCAACCTTCATCATTTGAATTCTAAATTGTTTTAGTTCTGATTTAAGATTGAGTCGTTTCTAGCTAGTATTTGTGTTCAGTGCAGCCATACTGATGAACGCACAAAAGTTTGTCAATCTGCCAGCAAATGACATGCATCGACGCCGACGATGAGTGGGGCGCTTAAGAGCATGCAACACTTGGCGCCGTCATGCACGATGCTGACGTGCCAATGTCACAATTATTTAGAGAACCCATCCCCATCACCATCCCCATACCATCAAAGCAAAGCAAAGCCCTCCACCAGCAGGAAGGCGATGGTGGAGTGGGGAGCCCAAAAAAGATGTCGTATCCGTTGCAACTGCTGCCAACTTCCCGCATGCCAGAGAAGGGATAAGAGGTGAGAACTTGACGGAAATCACTAGAGCAACTTTTTTAATGGAATCAAATCAAATTGTTCGGAAGCTGTAAAAAGCGATTGCACGGAAGCATTTTGAGCTGTTGACAGCGAGCGGGGCGGCGCCACACGGTTGACATCGACAGCATCGACAGCCGCCAACAGTCATCGAGGTGTGAAAAAGGCGACACCAGCGCCAGAACTTGCCAAAGAAACACAAACTAAAAATCCCTAAAAATACTAGGAGGCGGAATCATAAGTACACACTTGAGAGGGAGCTCTTGGCAGCGTCGTCAATACGGCGTCAAGTGTGCGCTTGTCCACGCCCATTTAGGGCTCATCCGCAAAAGGAAACCAAAGGCAAGGAACATCTGAAGGAAGCCAACGAGAAGCCACCATGTAATTGGCCAAATGACAATGTGCACAAGGTGCAAAAAGTTACCACCAACTGAAGCTGGGGGCAGCAAAAAG